CGGGCGCGGACGCCACAGGGAGCAAGGGCCGGGGGGAGCCTTTGGTCGGGTTAAGGCTCAGCGTGATGCGTCCCGGAGATGTATGGATGCGTCCCGGAGAGTGAAATCACGTGCTCTGTCTTGGCAATTCCGATCTCGCTCCTTCGAGTGGGAACGAGGCTACACATTCATGGAGTAGGCCTACAGAGTCGGTGAAGCAGGTGAAGATTTTGCATACTTAAATTCAACCCAGAAACAATCTGACAGCGTCGAACAGGTCTGCATATTATTCATCTATAAATCAAGAGCCATCTCTCATGAGCAGACGAAAAATAAAAATAAAAAAACAAAATAAAAACACGACGACGAGACAACTCTTTAAATGTTACTCAAGTTTTGACAAGTCACTGCAACATGAACGTGGATACGAAGGAAAGTCCCCCTGGAACGAAGGAGGGACAAAGGGACACACGACAACTGCACACACGAGAGACAACACTCCACGACAGGAGGACATACAAGAGGCGACGACACAGAGCGGGAAGCAAGAGAGGAGAAAGAGCCGGATGTTGAAGGGATGTGCGCGGAGGAGCGAGGACAACACGGAGAGAGACAACCTTCTCGCCCGAAGACACGGCGCGGACTGGCAACTCCGGGCAGCTGTTGGTGGAGGTGGTGACCGCCCTGCTATCGCCGCCGTACGTTGCTGCCTGGCTCTTGCATGCAACACGTCAGATATGGAGTCTAATTGCCACCCTACTCGAAAGGATAAGGGCGAACCCAGACGCAAAGCCGCAGACTTTTGCGCCATTGGTAAAAATATAAAAAGGGAAGATAAAGATAGTGTGAGAGGAACTCATGTCGAAGTATCGCAGAACATGTAGCGTGACTCTGCCCCTCCCATTCCTTGCTTCGCACTCACACTCACACAAACACACGTACACACGCACACGCAACCTCCATACTGCCTCTTCCCTCCCAACATCACCGTTCCTAATTTTACCTTCATTTTAGAGATAAGAGGGAAGTAAAAATCTCTAAATCAATTTGACTTCACTCAGGGGTAACCAGTTGCTCGATAATGATTTATAAGCAAAGTTTCACATTTAAAATGCCTTCCAGATTTGCAATGAAGGTAAGAGTTTGTTATCTTTCCTAAAAACTTTTTTCCGTCGCCAAGTCACCGGTAAGCAATCGGACAAGCAGTGACGTCATACCTCTGCCATCGACCGTGCGCGCGCCGGGGAAAGGGGGGCAAGAGGGGGAGAGGGGGAGGGGTAGTGGCGTACTGCATGACGCTATGACGAAATCAACTTCAATGATAACGATCCATGCCACCTTCGCGACCAGTGCCACTTACTACGCCACAATACTTATACTCGTAGTGCCACTTACTACGCCACAATACGTGTAGTGCCAATTGCTACGCCTCAGGGGGTTGGGCTGTCCCTTCCTCTATACGAGCCGATAGTGTCAATATTTCTCTCTCATCTTATCGGGGCATTTATGACACAGTTTCAAATAAGAGCACGAATAAAAACAAAAAACATTTACAGGGCACTCAAAAATAAATAATTTGATCATGCCACACCGATAAATACCTGCTTCTTGATCATTACTTTTATCGCAAAACCACATCAGATGTTACGTCATATTCTTAGCGATACCATCACTGCCAGTCTTCTCTTCTGAATACGGTGATCAACATTAATTTAGATATAGGTTTTCTCCTGACTTCTAAAGGGCCAAAATTTGCTTGTAGACTGGCACGACCTTAATCACAGAGCCACTAATATGTAATTCTTAAGAAAAAATATCCATTGTTTACTCTTCCTTTCACTTAGATCAGATATCTTTTAAAGATTTTTTTCCCTAACTAATTGTCCTCTGGGTCTTCATCCTTGATCAATAATCCATTAATAAGAATTAATGTAGACCTCTGTTGTATTAACATTTACTACATATAAAATGGTGTCACGCAAGAAGATCTATAGCAATTATTTATATTTATTAAGTAAAACTAAATAAACAGTGTCGATCAGCCACCAACATGTATCCACTATTTCAATAAAAGTCAATAACAGGAGAAAATATAGCTACCGGTTACTCTCATACAGACTTAGATGCAAGGATATGCTAATGAAATTGCATTATATGAGTGCAATATGAGTAATATATGAGTCTTACTATTGTTTTGTTATGAGTCTGTGATTGCTATGCTTTCTTGCTAGACAATAAATCAAATAAAATCAAATGATACAAGGGAAAGTCATTTAATATTTGTTTAAAAAGTCTTCCATAGTTTCGTGAAAAGAATATCAATCGCATCGTCTAACGTAGCAATAATATATTAACAATGTGATCTCTCTCTCTCTCTCTCTCTCTCTCTCTCTCTCTCTCTCTCTCTCTCTCTCTCTCTCTCTCTCTCTCTCTCTCTCTCTCTCTCTCTCTCTCTCCTTCTTTTTTCTCCCTCTATCCCTCCCTTTCTCCCTCTCTCCCTCTCCATCTCTCTCAAACATAT